GGTAAGGATGCCAGAAGCTGTGATGTTTAAGTCCCTCACCCCTCCTAACTCCTATGTTTCACTGGCTCTTTGGCCCAGCTGACACTGTAAAAAACTTGGAATTAATTTAGGTCTTGAAAATGTCTTACCCTTGTGGCATAAATACAGGGAAATGAAGGGAGTTCCACTGTTGTAAGGTGGTATGTGGGAAATCCCCAATATCTAAATGAAAAACTAAGCTCATGATAGGAATAAATGCTTAGGATAGGTATTTAAAGTGAGCGTGTACCACTCCCATGTACAGCAGTCTGACAACATTGCCAGAGGATGGAGAAGTTTGGCATGATTCTTAGTGGTGAGAACAGTTCTTCTTGGTGTTGACCCTTATGGAACCTGGACCATTCAAAAAACACTGCGACACCCTCTGGCAATTTAGGGTGAGTTGCAGAATCAGCACCCATCCATGAACTTTGGCTAGGGCCAGTGAAGGCAGCACTGGCTGGGGTTAGTGCTGCTGTGTTTCTGTTTTGTTGGGGTAAACCAATAGAAATTGTGGCTGTCTAGTTTCTAACAAGCACTGAATAACCCCGTATCTGGTCAGTGTGCAGTGAAGCTGTAGAGGACAGTGCAGAACACTTTGGTAAGGTTTCCAGTGAGCTGTCCTTTTAGCTGGTTTCTTTATCAGTGACTTCTTTAGTTTCCTTCCCTGTTAGTGAACCTTGTTACAGCATTGAAACTCTATGAAAAATTCCTTCTTTTAACAAAATAGAGGCCTCTTACTTAATTCTTTCAATACTTCAGTACCAGCAGAAAAAAATCTGCCAGTATTCGTGTCTTGCCAGTTTCAACCTCCTCAAGTCACTGAAGGTGACAGCAAATACAATTACTCCTTGTCAAAGCACTAAAGTGCCAGAGTTATGTTCCTCACCTAGAGCTACACATCTATAATGTGAAGTGAATGTATATTGATTATTCAAAGCAGCAGAAATACCCTTCTGAATAAAGAAGTTCTCATTTTAGTCACAACATACATAGAAGTTCTCTCTCTTCTTTTTCTTCCTCTCAGTACTTACATGCATTATCCACACCTGGCAACAATCCCTTAACCGGTAACACATTTTGGTGTTGTATATGTTTTTATTTATATATCTATATATAATTGCATACCTATAGATCTTGTAACACACTGTGAAGTGAAAAAAAATAAAACACTGAAATATTCACTTGTGCCTAAGCTTTCTGCCCTGCCTTACTCTTTAGTACTTTTAAAAGGACTGGGATTTCCAGTACTTTGAAGTATTACACAGAATTAATTTAACCTACTTGCACAGCTATTCTATGCAAACTCAGTTCAAATGCTACTTGTCTTAGTGAAGGATTCATGACTTTTTGTTCTAAATTCTGGAATCTGATTAATGCAAATGTTATACCATCAAGAGACTGTGCTTTCAATTCAACCCACTTTTGTATATAAAAGTGCAAGAAAACTTTGCTGTAATTGCTTTCTCTGTTGAAGCACACATGGATAAGTGAGATGTAATGGTTTTTGTTCCCTTTAAAGTCACTGTTGCATTCAAAGAACCCAGACACCTAAGTATTTCTAACAAAGCAAATGAAAATTAACACACGATCATTTCTCAGTCGACAGTGAAGCCTACAGCAATCAAGATACCAGACAGAGCTCCTAAAAATTATTGTCTTGAAGCATTTCACTGCCCTTGGTGCCCTAGTTTCTCAATAACCAGATGCATCTTTCACTGGCACGGTGAAGTCTGCTTAATACAACTTTCTGTAGAACGTTTTACTAGACACAAATCACAATAAAAATTGTACTTACAATGACGAAGATAGACAGTCCTTCATTCTCCACCCAGTTACCCATGATTGCCTGAGTTAAGTGCACACAACGACCCTGTTCTTTCTGGGACAGTGTCGAAGGCTGCTCTCATAAGGAAGTGAGAACAGAAGCTTGCAGCAACCTGTTTCCTTTCTCATTCATTTAGGAAATAAGTTAACTATTGAATCATATCCATAGTTGTTTCAAGCATGTTTCTACCAACTTTACATGTAACTTTTCATAAGTCAAATGCGTATAAAATGTTTCTTTGTGATACAGAGGATAAAATAAATAACATGATTGGTTGGGTTTTCTTCCAAAAAATGTATTGCTATCTTATATACCTTTCAATGCTGAAATGTAATACAGAACGCACAGAAGAGTTATCTCCTCAAAAAAAAAAGATTGTCTAGTATCCTCTTTGATAAATAATCATTAGAATTATTTCTATTCCAGTAATTCAAGGTCCACAGAAGATTCCAAATGTAATATAGCACTTCTTTTGTCTGATACATGCAAGTCTTGCTACTTCCTCTCTGCTTGGGCCAAAACTGAGGATACTAGACAATCTATTTTTCGTATTTTGCACTCTCACAGAGTCCCCAGCCTCAGGAACCGTGTCACTATATAATTAAAAAAAATAATAATAAAAAAAATAAAGGAAGCATTTTGCTTTTGTGTTTAGAGAGAAAAATAAGAGAAACTGCCATATATGCCTGTTTGCTGCAAGTGACACGTGTGGTGCCAAAACCACCCATGTGTCACCCCTGACTTAAACTGGCGCTTGCACCTGCTGAATGAGTGGAACATCTTTGCTGTAATATTGCAAAGACTTGCACTTTTTGTACTTTGGTCTAATTTTAAAAATGCATCCTGCACAAGAAAAGGCAGCTGTGTATGAAATATGTAGGACCGTGTGAAACTAGAGTATGGAAAAAATTAAACATTATATGAGCCTGTTTCTAAAATTTATTTCAAGTGAGCTGGTTACAGACAACACTTTTTATCCTTTCTTGCACTGAAAAGTTCAGTGGACAGTGACCGTTTTGCAGCATGACAGTTTTGCAAATGTATTTAGGTCTCAAAGTTCTTCATTTCCTTGCAGTAATTTTACCCCCTTGCTTAATAACTAATTTAGTTCCTCTCTGGCTCTGTGCAAGAGTGCTCTTTGTATTCCTGCACAAACTTAATGTCAGAGAGTTGGAATAGGCCCAGGTTTCACACCTGGCTCCTAAACAGAAAAAAAAGTAAAATGCTGCTTGTATAAACCCCAAAAGAGAGAGTGATACAAAGAACAGAGTGAAAGAGATTCAGCTCCTGCAATACTGAGGATGTTGCTGAGCTGAGGTTGCTGATCTCCTTCCCATATAGCAGGAGGAAAGCAAAGGAGAGACCTTGATTATCCCCTTTTATTTTTTTAGGCTGAGATCTTTATTGTGAATGCTGTGCAATAGTTGGCTAGCAACCTTCCCCTGATTCTGCACTGAAGAGGAAGAAGTGGACGAGGGACTTGTCAAGCTGTCCCTCCCAAGGGGACTGTCTTCACACGCAGCCTGAAGCTGCCCGTTTGCTCTTGCCTTCACTCCAGGGAAGGGCATAGGCTGAAACTTCTGCTCTTTCAGTTTGGCTTACAAATTAAATTATTCCATGCTGAGAAAAGGGCAGAAAAGTGGACAGATATGAGGCAGGAAAAAAAAATGTCAGTGAGACTCCAGTAAGGACTGGTAGATCATTCCATGTCTTTGCTTAACACCATAATCCTTACTGTAGTTTCCTGCTCCAGTACTTCCTCAGACTTCCTTTTGAAATAGTCATGAGACACCCACGTGCTGTATTAAAAAAGTCCTCGTCTGATCCACACACTATTGGCCATGTGAGTCTTGGCTTGAAGTCAAACAGCAGCAGCACAAGTCAGAGCAGGATGGCCGTGCACTGCCGTGTTACTGGAAGGGAGAGCCACGAGTGATGCACCCGAAGCACAGACAGACGTTGGATTACATTAAGTCGGTGGTAGTTTCTGGGTAGAGCTGGAGTAAAGCAAGGATAGGATAACTTCCCATGTGTAAAGACTGAGGCCAAAATAGCCTGACTTTGTGTAGGACTCAAGAAGATGGGGCCCAGTGTGCACTTTTTTGCCAGGGTACTGGGGTTCGTGGCCCGCTTGTCTGGGGCTGGAACTGGAACACAAACCAGCATCTATTCGCTCCTCCCTGTGCAGCCGGACTTACCCTGCCGGGGGTTCAGACCTGCTGCCTCTACACAGCCCCGGGAAACTCTTCTCTGCCGGGGCAGAAGGGCTTCACCAGCAGCTGCTGAGCAGCAACTCTTATGGGTGCAAATTGGAGCATAGGAGGTTCAAGGTGAATATCCGAAATTTTTTTTTTCCTGTGAGAGTGACAGAGCACTGGAACAGGCTGCCCAGGGAGGCTGTGGAGTCTCCCTCACTGGAGACATTCAAACCCACCTGGATGAGTTCCTGTGTTGATGTACTCTAGGTGACCCTGCTCTGGCAGGGGGGTTGGACTAGATGATCTTTTGAGGTCCCTTCCAACCCCTAAGATTCTGTGAACTCTTCCGCTCAAGGAAACGCCTCGAAGGACGCGAGAGGGAGAGCCTTTTTCTCCTCCGCTGGTATCGCCTGGAGGAAGGACTGAGACCCAGCGCTAACGAACCGCGTTTTCCCGGGACGAGCCGCAGCCGCCGGGGGCAGCGGGGGGGGGG